TTTTTTTTTGCATATACATATGTGTATTTATTGGTTACTTTTATTTAATTTTGAGCAAATGTAAAAATATATTTTTCTCTTCATTGTAGCAAGATATTTAGGTACAAATAAACCTGGAAATGGGAACAATGAGATGGAAATGGTTGCAAAAGAGGACATTCAAAGTGGAGATTTTGCAGTCATGGATTACTCTCCTGCCCTTAACAAAACTCCTATTCATAATTAGATATAATTTTATTAAAACTACAAATTATAGATAAATTGTGTAATCTTGTATTGATCTAAAAATGATATATATTTATATATATATATATATATATAGGTATGTGAAGAAATTTATTATTTAATTTATTTGTGATACTGCTCTAAATAAATTCAAGAAAGTGTTATGGGTTTGTATGTAATGCAGATTTGTAACTAAGGATTTTGTTAGAGGTATTTCAACAGATAAGTCGAATTATTTCTGTCCGATTTTACTTGAGTTATGTGCACGTATAGAATATTCGACTCGAACTAAACTATTTACGAACACAACTTGATTCGACTCGTTCGTTTAATTAAACTATTGAAGTCCGAGCAGTAAAACAAGCACAAGCTTTGATTATTAACTGAGTCGAACTGAGTTCATTCACAAACATCTCATTTTTTTTTTTTTCTTTTTTTTGCTTCTTTACACAAGTTTCTTTGTGAACGAATCAAGTCTCACATGTCCACTAATTAAGCATTAAAAAAAAAAGAGTGAAATCAAATAGAAAAAAAAAAATACCTGTAAAATAATTGAGGAACAATTTTTTACTCAATTGTGCAGAAGCACAACCCTCATCAGCATAACAATAAAATTTTCAAGTTAAAAGAACCAACAAAATTAAAAAAACCTTCAGGAACTCTCGATCTTCTCGTAAAACAGCATGCTGGCATTCGCACCCAACACGTCTTTTTCCGAGACACTGTAAACTTCAGAATCCGAAATACAAAACCATTGCTCGATAGATGATTCGAGCAGGGCCACGGGATCTTCATTCCCTAATCGACCCGTCACTTTTCGGTAAACAGTGTAGTGCCCTCCCCCACTCGTGCCAAAGTGCACCACAACCGACACTAAACGGTACGTTTGGTGTCTCAATGGTGCTGCTAAGGGTAAAATAGTACTTTCCTGCAATAATTGACAAAACGCACACATGAGACCAAACTCAAGCCACTGATACCGAATTCATGTTTGAATTTATTTTGAAAAGAGTACTAAAAAAGAAGCACATGTGAGTTTGGGGGTAGTTATGACATGACATCAAAAAGTTTCGAAATCCAAACAAGAAACACCCTGAGGTGGGTGTGATTCGGTTATAACATGAATGCGTAGCTATAATATTATAGTGTAAGACACATGCAAGGAAGGTTTAAACATATTTTCCTTAAATTACAGGGGGAAAGTACGATAATCAAACCACAACGATTTTCCTTCTTTATCCCCTCAAAAGAATGAAACTTGTTGAATAGTAAGATGTTTATATCAACTATTACGGGGTGTTTGTTTATAAAAAATTTCCAATTCATACTCAATCCAGACTCAAAATCTAACTCAAATTTAATTCAACTCCACTATCTTCAATATTATCAATATTATCAGTATAATTAAATAAATACCAAAAAAACATTCTTCAAATCAAATCAATTTGAATTCACTATTCATACTCTCACATAATTTTAACTTACAATCATCTCTTTCATACTTTTCCATCAAATCAACTTTATTTATTTTATTTTAATGTAAACTCAAAATCCCACTAACAACTAACCATACCAACTTTTTCAAAATTAACCATGACTAACCAAAAATACTCGTTTTGAGCGGATATATTTGTATCCAAGCACACCCTAAAATGTTTGTCTTATTTTCATTTCTCCCCTGATTATAAGATGTGTGTGTGTGTGTGAATGTGTGTGAAAGAGAGGGAGAGAGAGAAGGGCAATGGATGAGGAGAAGCTAACATACATTAGTATTAGCATGTCTTTCAGAATCGAGCAAGCTAGACTCGGAAGCTTTCAAACAAGGGCCATTGTTGACTGCAATGGTGTTTTTTTCCTGGTTTTCAGATGCATTTGTTTCGAAGCAAGTGCTTTTTGCTGAGTGTAGCTTTCGTGGACTGACGAGCGTATTTTGGTACTTGGGAAAAGGGAATAACCTTATTTCCCCAAGACTTGGGTTCAGTGGACCAAATTGCGACTTTGACGTACTTTTTATTCCGATTCCAGTATTCATAAACTTAGATATATCCAAGATGGAAGGAAATGAGATATGGCCCTGAAGAAACAAATAATCGAAAGCTCAATCGTTTAGCGTCATGTGGAGAAACTCCTACAAGGATTTGTTACAAATATTTGGATGATCACAAATATTATCCCGAAATATTAGCTTAAGGGAGAAAGGAAAAGAAAAGGAAAAAAAAAGGAGATTACATTTCAGGAGAAGAAAAACTAGTGCTCCTAAATACCTGAAGTTTCACCGACTGCCCAAACATGTTGTACGAAGCTCGTTGCAAATGAATGCATAAAATCTGCAAATGTATAAATATGTTATGAGAGAAAAAATTGTAAGGCAATAAAATAATTAGTGTGACAGTTTCTCAAGTAAACGACATTTTACATACAACATTGGATGCATGCACACGTTTAAGAATAGAGATGCAAAAAAAGAGTATCTGAAAAAAAAGTCCTCGTTCTGTTGTCCAATATATGACTGTAAAATATCAATCGCCCAACTGCATTCATAACCAGATTTACAGATTGTTAAAACTTCCACGAAAAGGAAATGGATAATAATAATGCCCGTACCTTTGGGCTCCGTGAAATACTCATTTGCTTCAAAGTACGAGAGAACTTGTTTGACCAAGGAAATGCTTCGAGGGAGTATTGTTTTTTGCACTCACAAGAATCATCCTTATTACAGTTTTGAAGTTTTTCAACGACAGTCTGCAAAAAAAACACAAATATTATTTTATGGTAATTGGAAAAGTAGGACAAAGATGCTTATATTTGAAGCAACCGAATAGTGAAACAAATGGAAATGCATACAGTAACGATTCAAGAAAGAATAATATTCTGCAAAATGGTTAGAATCGTCAATAGTAGGATGAGGACGCAGCTATAGACCCCCCAGAGTTGCAGTAAAATTGCAAAAGCAGCCCTGCAATTTAGCATAATTACACAGGATGCTATCGTCTTTTGGATAATAATATCCCATAAAGATATTGCAAACAAAAGCTTGAGGCTGTATTTATTTACCAATTCCCCGTTCATATGGTACATTTAGTATAATATAGAAAAACATGTCAAAGGTGATGGCATTTGCAATTTTAGAAGATCAATAGAGTTCTAACTTTTACGTTAAAGGCAAAATGATACCTCATCTTCAGCAAAAACCGATGAATACTCAATAGCAGCATTATGCCAACAATTGCTGCAGCAATAGTTCTCAACATGTTCTGCCATAAAAAAATTCTTAAGGCAATCCTCCAGGGTGCATCCAGCCATCTAACAAAAGGGCAAAAGTTACAGAGAGAGAGCATAATTATGATGGTGGAGTCAAATACAGAGGACTAAAACGAAAGACTGAAAAATATTCATTAACATACAATTGTCGAGCCGCTGCTGGTTGGAGGTGAAAGGTGTATAGTGTGGAACAGTTGAAAATCTAGAGAGATCTGTAGAAGTTAAAAAAAGGATGTAAATTAATGCTACTGAACAAAGAACCACCAGTTTGATATCACCAGAAAAAAGGTTCAAGGTATGAATATTAATATGGTCGGTCGGCCTACGATGTTGCTCAATAATTCCATTTATTTGTTTGGTTTATTTACATATAGTGGAATTTCGGCCTAATTGGAGAAAGGGGAAAAAAGCCGGCTGCCTCCCAAAATTGCGAACAGCCACTCCATATTCATTACTAGTTCACGAATTGCAACCCGAATATATCCTAAGTAGGTGTCTGTAAAATCTTAATGGAGTACTTGTAATTTCGCAACATAATTGGTTTTTGTAATTAGGCTTCCACGTGATAGGTAGCTGTGGTAATTTACCTTTCATTTTTAAAAATAAACCATCTTCACATCCAATTTGAAGAATGTTGATTCAACTAAATCATACAATACCTCTATTTAAAATGGTACCGAGAGAAAATCCAAATCATATATTAAAGCAAAAATCTTACTAGTACCATTCAACCTGAAACGAACAGCTTTGGCAAACTAAGTTGCTGCAAACAATCCCATCAAAAGGCTTGAGAAAACAGCGATCCCATTTCTGCCATTCAGTTTCCCCCTCATGGCTCTTCGAAAGAATCCTACCATTTTGAAGCCCAGGCAAATCTGCTAAGCAGCTTATATTAGGGGCACAATGTTCTGCTATTTCTTCTCTCAAAGAAGACAAAAGAAGTGAAAAGGCTTCCTCAGCATCCTACAATCATGTTAATCAAATGAAAATGAGACATACAATACTTCCATACGGGTAAAAGTAGAAGGGATAACCACAAGAACTACACCCGAGGTTCAGGATAATTAAAAAGATCCTTAAGTATAAAAACAAAATAAAATAAAATAGCAAAAAAAATGAGGTTAGATTCTGCTTTAGATTTAAGGGAGTGACTGCAATAATCTATGAATGCTACGTGGAGTTCTTAAAAGCTGTCTGCCAATGAAGGGGGAAAATATTAGAAGGAATCAAACCTCAAGGAGAAAATTGTAATTTCTGAAATGTTATGAGTTTATTTACAAATACCCCAAACCTCGGTAGTGATTTTCGTAATAACCACAAACTAAAATGGTAATCAAAAGAGCACCTGTTGACTGGTTAGACTGAAATTCGGAATGTAATATTCCATCATAACCATCAATTTCCGAGGACTTAGTACGGTTGTTGTATGCCGAACAGTACATAATTCTGCAAGATACAATGATGTTCATCACGCAATGCTGCAGATTAACATGAATTGTCTGTTTCATTTTTATTTAAAAGAACTCGTAGTAAACATATTATCAGACAAAAACAATATCCAATTCAGTTTTCTGTATGACAGCTTATTCTAATTTTCACTAAGATCAAGGTATCTATGTTACAGCTGTGCTGAGACTGCTAATAGTTCATGTAATGCGACATATAGCACTTTGTGCAGTTGATCAGGTAATAGCTTATTCGCGAGTAACAGGCAAGAAAACACCAGTAGAATAAACAAGAGTATCATGGACACAAAATTTACTAGCAACCTAAGGTACCTAAGAGAGGGCCAAAAAATATGTCAGACAAACATAGAACAAGATAATATTGTGAATGATTATTCGTGAACGAATAAAAAACATTTACCATAAAGCTTTACAAAAATCAACCAAAAAAAAACTATCATCAGCACTTCATACACAATGTTAAGAAATGACAAGTGGAAACCACAAGCGAAAATGCAACAGTTAATGCTATGGCAAGATTGCACACTACAAACACCTAAACATGTAAAACGCAGTTGTCTTGATCCAAATTTTGATATTACGGTACACATACAAATCAACCGACCTTCCACTAATGAAGTCAATGATTTAAATAAAGGTAAGCTTTCATCTCCTTCTTCATACGATAATAACCCGTATTCTTCCACCATATCCCGAAGGTATTTTCGAAAGCTCGGGCAGCTTGCCAATGCCTTAAACATAAAAATAAGTAGATAAACAAGTGATAAAATCAACTGACAACGAAATGAAATGCAAATAAAATTTACCCATTTCATCAAAATCATCAAAATAACTACCTAACATTATTCAGTCATAGGATTCGGTAATAGATACTACAGACAATCAACCCAAAGACTAAAACAAATCGAAGAATCGACTTCTACCTGCAACACAACATTCAGGAAACAGTTGTTTCCAAGATTCTGCAATCCGGGGACAACCCAAGACCTAGGATAAACGTTGTCCTGATCCGAGGAGCTCAAGTCGAGGTACCATCTGCCTTTAATCAATAAAACCACACCTACAGCGCCCAACACACCGGCGGATAGTGATACTTTCAGGCCCGGATTAAAAACCCAGTTGATATTGGAACCATACTCGGGTTTGCGAAATAAGGAAGTGAATTTCGTACTATCGGAGATTTTCATTCAGGCAAACCGCCGGTGAAGTGATTCGGCCGCCGATTTTCCGCCGTGATTAAGGAATCTTCCACGAGTGTTGTGTTGGCTTTACAGAGCACCGTTTGCTTTTGGTTCAAGGGACTTGTGCATAGTATATGGCAAGAGACGGTATTTACATAGGTTAATCCAAGTTTTACTACTACAAGTTGTGCTAAATATGTATTTTGCCCCATTTAAATAAGGGGTGATTGTTTACCATTTGTACAGTAATTTTTTTTACTCAAATTCAAATTTAACTCAACTTTAACTCAACCACACTATTTCTAATATTATATAATTAAATAACATCAACAAATCATTATTACATATCACATCAACTTTAATTCACTATTCATCTACTCACATAATTTTAATTAATTTTAACTAACTATCACTTCCAATCAT